AATGATTGTAATTGGGAATGCATGAAAGGCTAGAAGTAGGGAAGCACTGATACCTCAGAGGGTTGAGAGACTGAAAGAAATTAGAGATAAGGTTCAGTGGCAATGCTGTATATGTATTTAGTCCTGCTATAGTGTCCATTAAGAAAATGGGATAAAATCAACCATGTTGTTTGCCAGTCTCTTATTATAACATTGCAAATTTACTTCACATTACAGTTAATAATCGAAGTACTTATGTTTATACCCCAGCATTTTGCTCTCATGTTTTGATTCAGTTTTGCTGATTCTTGTTAACAATTTAGAATTACTCAACAATTTATCAAATCCTTAAAGCACTGGATGCAGGAGCTCTGGTAAACACACTCAATCAAAGCTGCAGTAAAATCATCATGAGTCATCAGTATACTTGCAGCAATTACCATACATTAAAGATAGGGAGCATTTTCACAGTCAGCAGCTGTAATGTCATCATCACTTCCAGAAAACTGACTAATAATAGAAAAAGCCCCATACAAGACTAAAGGGTTTATGTTACAAGCTGTAATTTAACCTTTAGCTTCAGAGAAAACTGAACTCAGATTTATTTATTCTTAAAGAGTAAGTGTTAGTCATATTATTCAGGAACTTTGTTAGAAAGAGTAGGAAGGTTGTAAGGAGAAACCAGGGAACTACAGACTTGTGAGTTTCACTATGGTTGTGGGTAAATTTTTGGAGGTGATTATAAAAGATAGGATTTATGGGCATTTTGAAAGGCAAAAATTAATCAAGGACAGTCAGCATTGGTTTTGTGCAGGGAAAATCATGTCTCACAAACTTGATTGACTTCTTTGAAGAAGTTACCAAAAAGATTGATGATGGCAGAGCAGTAGACAATGTTAATTTGGATTTTGGTAAAGCCTTTGACAAGGTGCCGCATGGTAAACTAATTAGTAAAGTTATGTCACATGGGATTCAGGGTGAGCTTGCCAATTGGATACATAATTGGCTTAATGGCATGGGAGAGAGACTGAGTGTGGGTTGTTTTTTGGACTGGGTTCTAGGTCCTCTTTTGTTTGTCAGTTAAATTAATGATTTGGATGAGAATATAAAGGCATGGTTATCAAGTTGTGGACCACACCAAATTTGCATAGTAGACAGTGAAGAAGGGATTTTGATCAAATGGGTCAATGGGCTGAAAAGCGGCATATGGAGTTCAATCTGGATAAATGTGAGGTATTGCAGTTTTGTACAACAATCAAGGGTAGGACTTACGCAGTTAATGGTAGGACCTTGGGTAGTGTTATACAACAGAGGAATCTAGGGGTGCAGGCATAAAATTCTTTGAAGTTTGCATCACATATAGACAGGGTGGTTAAAAAGGCGTTTGGCACGCTTGCTTTCATTGCGCAGTCCTTTGAGTATAGGAGTTGGGAAGTCATGTTGAGGTTGTACAGGACATTGGTGAGGCCTCTTCTGGGATACTGTGTCCAGTTCTGTTCACCCAGTTATAGGAAGGATATTATCAAGCTAGAGAGAGTTCAGAAGAGATTTACCAGGATGTTGCCAGGTATGGAAGGTTTGAGTTATAAACACAGTCTGGATAGACTGGGACTTTTTTTACTGGAGCTCAGGAGGTTCAGAGGCAACCTGATAGAAGTTTATAAAGTAATGAGAGTGAATAGAGTTAATGGTAGTTGTCTTTTCCCTAGGAGGGTGGATTTCATGACTAGGGGGCACATTTTTAAGGTGGGAGGAGAAGGATTTAAAAAAAGACATGAGAGGCAAATTTTTTACACAAAATTCACTGGACTCTGGGGTGGTTCCTGCAGATTGGAAAACATCCAATGTGACGCCACTGTTTAAAAAAGGAAGTAGACAAAAAGCGGGTAACTATAGGCCAGTTAGCTTAACTTCGGTAGTTAGGGAAATGCTTGAATCTATCATTAAGGAAGAAATAGCAAGACATCTGGATGTAAATTGTCCCATTGGGAACACCCAGCATGGGTTCATGAAGGGTAGGTCATGTTTAACTAATTTGGTGGAATTATTTGAGGACATTACTTGGGGAACGTGTGGATGTGGTGTATCTGGATTTCCAGAAGGCATTTGACAAGGTGCCACACCAAAGGCTGCTACATAAGATAAAGTTGCATGGTATTACAGGTAATGTATTGGCATGGATAGAGGATTGGTTGACCAGTAGAAAGCAAAGAGTAGGGGTAAATGGGTGTTTTTCTGGTTGGCGGTCAGTGGCTAGTGGTGTGCCTCAGGGATCAGTGGTGGGACCTCAATTGTTTACAATTTACATAGATGATTTGGAGTTGGGGACTAAGTGTGGTGTGTCAAAATTTGCAGATGATACTAAGGTGAGTGGTACAGCAAAGACACTGAAAGTCTGCAGAGGGATATAGATAGTCTAAGTGAGTGGGCAAAGGTCTGGCAGATGGAGTACAATGTTGATAAGTGTGAGGTCATCCATTTTGGTAGGAATAACAGCAAAATGGACTATGTTTTAAATGGTAAAAAAATTGCAGCATGCTGCTGTGCAAAGGGACTTGGGTGTCCTTGTGCATGAATCCCTGAAGGTGGGATTGCAGGTGCAGCAGGTGATTAAAAAGGCAAATGGAATTTTGTCTGCCATTGCTCGAGGGATGGAGTTTAAAAACAGGGAGGCTATGCTGCAGCTGTGTAGGGTCCTGGTGAGGCTACACCTGGAGTGCTGTGTGCAGTTTTGGTCTCCTTACTTGAGAAGAGATATACTAGCACTGGAGGGGGTGCAGAGGAGATTCACTCAGTTGATTCCAGAGTTGAGAGGGTTGGATTATGAGGAGAGACTGAGTAGACTGGGATTATACATTGGAATTCAGAAGAATGAGAGGAGATCTTATAGAAACATATAAGATTATGAAGGGAATAGATAAGGTGGAGGCAGGGAGGTTGTTTCCGCTAGCAGGTGAAACTAGGACTAGAGGGCATCGCCTCAAAATAAAGGGAAGCAGATGTAGGACTGAGGTCAGGAGGAACTTCTTCACCCAAAGGGTTGTGAATCTGTGGAATTCCCTGCCCAGTGAAGTGGTTGAAGCTACCTCACTGAATGTTTTTAAGGCAAGGCTACATAAATTTTTGAACAGTAAAGGAATTAAGGGTTATGGTGATTGGGCGGGTAAGTGGAGCTGAGTCTCAAAGATCAGCCATGATCTTATTTAATGGTGGGGTAGGCTCAAGGGGCCAGATGGCCTACTCCTGCTCCTAGTTCTTATTTTCTTATGTCCTTAGAAGGTGGTTCATATGTGGGATGAAGTTCCTGAGGAAGTGGTGGACGCGGGTACAATTACAATGTTTAAAAGACATTTGGATAGATACATGAATAGGGAAGATTTAGAGGGATATGGACCAGGATCAGGCAGACGGAGCTAGTGTAGTTTGGGATTATGTTCATCATGGACTGGTTGGACTGAAGTGCCTGTTTCTGTGGTGTATGGCTCTATGACTCTGAGTATTGAATATTGCACCTAATCTGCTATATACTTAAAACTTTCACCAATTTACTATCCCACTCTTGGATAGTTGCAGCATTCAACAACCTCTTCACACAGATTGATAATTTTTTTTTTTACTTCAATAGTGTCACAATGACAGGCACTTACCCAATAGATAATCAGAAGACCTCCACCAACTGCTCTCCAGTGACAACTGATCTAATAAGGGGTGCTTGATGGAGACTGAATCAAGCACATTGTCCTGCTTAGGCAAAGGGAATTTTATTGGCCACCTATTTCTGATGCTGGAAAGTTCAAGAATAACAATTGATAATAGAAATCAGATATATGATGCTGCGTTTTATGCTTTCCTGGGGTAGTTTGGCAGGTAGTGCGGGACAGAGGGCAGAAAAGTAGGAATGATGCCAAGACCCCTTTCCAGCACCCAATGACTTATCCCTGACTCCACTGTAATTCTACAGAGGGCAGGGGTAGTGTTACAGACCCACCCACTCATCTCCAATTCAAGCCATTGTGGTCAATTAGTGATCACTTAAGGGCCCCATCCTGCTCTGCAATTTTTCCCACTATGGCGAAAAGCCTAGTTTGAAATGTATTCGTCCTACACTCCAGGCCACAGGTATGAAAAGGAAACAGGATTCCTGCTTTTCCTCTTCCAGCCTAACTGGATGTTCCCTATCTCCATAATCCGACTCCCAGTGGTGCTGCTATGACCATTTGATTGGTCAGCGGCTCCAGTAAGCACAAGTCTCACCCTGAGCTAATTAACACTTATCTGAACAGAGCAACCTGTCACAGTGGGAGCCGTGCCACATTTTTAACTTTTCACCAAGAGAAAGGAATCCTGTGAAAACAAGGAATTCCCCCAGATGGTGACATCCTTCAGCAAGTTGATTGCAAAATATTACTTTAAAAGTAGAGGGAAAATGGCATCTAATAGAGTTATAATACTTTGAGCTTGTTTGATATTCTTTATTGATTTCTAAAGGTGAGACGTCATCTTTAAATGAGCATTATTTACATTTCTGTTTGAAAGACTAAGGCTCATAGCAAAAATAGCACACTTTTCTTTCATCATTGCTTCAATGCATCGCAATTCTTTCTGTCTTTTTTACATTAAACCAGATATGAATATTCTCAATCTTGATTCTAATCTGGATGATGGAAATATACATTTGCTGTGGGGATATCAACACAAACAGATCTTAAATGATTTCAATCGAACAGATATGGGTCAATAAACTATCTCAATTCATCAGGAAATAGGATTCCCAATAATGAAGACCATTGATATACCTTGGTAAAAACAGCTGACTGTAGGGGTTTCTTATTTGAAATTGGTGCTGAGGGACTTAATCGGGGTGTATTGGAGAGAGTTATATTCTGTATTTAATCTTGGTGCATTTGTTAATGCTGCAAATGCATAACTAAATGGAAAGTATTACATTTCCAGTAATAATAGTGCTCACCTTAATGAGAGCAAAATTCACAAAAAAGGAGAAAAAAAGACATGGATTTTACCTGATTAGCACACGGAGTGTCTTGCACTTGCAACGAAATTTGATCTCCATCAATGCTAATTGATCTGGAGTATAGAGCTCCTGAAATTCAAAAAATATGGCTCAAGTATCTACTGAATAGATTGATAAATAGAAAAATATCTAATGTAGCACATACCTGTGTTTGGTTCATAATCTCCAATGAACCGTTTTGTGAGAAATCGTACAATCAAGGCTGCAAGAAATTTACAGAAGTGTGAAATGTAACTTTTCAATACGGTTTATGACAAAGTAAAAGAAAATTCTTAAGGATGGTCCAAACAAGAGGCACATTGGACTCAAAATATTAATTATTTCTCTACAGATACTGTCAGACCTGCCTAGTTTATCCAGCATTTTCTGTATTATCTATGAAAGAGTAAGTTTTCCTGCTCAACATTCACAAGTTACATCGCAGATCTATCTGGTCCACATATCTACACCATCAATAAGACTAACAACTCCTCCCACCCTGCCTTAAATCATCTACTGTAAAAACCTTCATTCAAGCCTGTGTTACCTCTAGACTTAACTATAATCGTGAGGTTCTCCAAAGCTCTGCTACCCATGTCTTAAAGTGCACTAGATCCCAGTTAAGCAACAACTTAATTTTAAAATTTTTAACCTTGTTTATATATTCCCCCATAGCCTCACCTCTTCCTATTTCTGAAATTCACTCCAGCCCCATTACCCTCCAAATGTCTGCATTTCTGCAGTTCTGGCATGCTGAGCTTTCTGAGTTTCAGTTGCTGCATGACTGATGGCTGTGCATTCACTTTACTGAGCCCTAAGCTCTAGAATTCCCTCTCAAACCTTTCGGTCTGTCCACACCACTTTTCTCCTTTACACCTACGCCAGTGATGAAGTTTATTTCTTCTGCCCTATATAATTTTATGTGGCTGGGTAATGTGTATTTTGTTTAATGAAGCATGTGAAGTGCTCAACAATATTTTATTACCTCTTTGTATTAAAAGTTTGACTCTTCCTATTTATGATGCATTTTCTGTGTCATTTATTTGATGTCTTACTTGGATGTTATAGCTTACCATTTAGTTAACCCTTAGTTATCCTGTTGTAACCATGTTTCAGTATTCCCTAATGCACATCAATGCACTTACTCTCTTCATTTGCACTCTTCAGTATTGTGTTGTCTGGATCCAGTCCCAGAACTTTGACCTGAAATTTACGCCTTGAATAACAGAGTTGAGTATAATCGCAACTAACAAAGATCGTAAATGTGAAGTAAATATACCTTACAACTACACAGTGCTAACTGTAAGTCCCTCTAATAACTAAAAGCATCTTAACCCATTACTGGTGAGTCGCTTTTACTGTATTCTATGTGCAAATTTTAGATGATGTATGTTCAACATGATGTATGTTCAACATAGACAATAAGAAAGCATCAGAAAAACTCATCTGTCTTTCATGGATGATAGGGGAGAAGAAGAAAAATGATACGCTTTGAAAGATGTGTTTGGTAAATGATTAAATACAATATGAATCCTTTAAATTATTTTGGAAACTAAATATCTGTAATCCAAATCAGTGCTCAAAAAGAAGCTTTCACTTTTGTGAAAAGTTACAAATCAGTAATGGAAACTGCGCAGAGGACCCAACACTCTTAGGGGAGAAGTCTGTAGGCAATGACATGGGAATATATAGATCTCAGAAGTAGGCAGCTTAACACAAATGGAAAGCAGAGAAAACAAAGTGGATAAAGGTGACAGGATACAGATGAGGGAGTATAAATGTGGGCATTTTATGATCAATATCTAGCTTCCAGTAAGTACAGAGTCATGAACTATCAATGTGGAACATGGACAATGGAACATGGATCTAATGCTGATCTTCGTGCAGAATCTCCAATGGCTAAAATAGTATCTCTTCCAACTCATCTTGCCAGGAGACCAATATTCCTAGCTCCTAGCAATATATGCCACATTTCAACCATCACTTCTGGTTTCACCATTTGCCACAGATGTAAAACAATCTCAAAAAGAGAGAAATAAAGCTGTCATTCACTTTGTTACTAATTTTTCATATCTGAAATAATTACAGATCTCTACTTTACCTACACTTCCCAAACTGCTACAGCAGTTGAAAAGATGGTCAATAATGGTTGGGTTCGGTTAGCACTGAACATCACAAATCTACCACTGACTTAGAATTCAAAGTCTTTCCTTAGCAAATTAAATGTCCAGTTTCTTTGTTCTGGTGAAGATATAACTTTTAACAGGAATGTAAATTCCTCTTTAATCTCATCATTTAATATCAAATTTATGTTTCCATCAAACTAACTGTTAAAACATGGAGCTCCTTCGCTGACACTACTGACAAATTTATCTAAGGCTAAGAAAACTTTTTTTTAAAAAAAAACCTGAAATAGACACTTTAATGTATCCACTATTATATAAGGTATAATATCCATTTACTTCAGGGTTTGGAAATTCAGCACATCAATTGTTGGGAAGAGTTTTTAGGGAGATTCAACTCCACATTGAGGGACATTGACAATTTAGTTGGAGGGAGGGTTTGCGGTGATAGCAGCTTAATGGGTTATGCGAGTTTCTCTAAACCGGCAGTTCAACCATGAAGGGTGATGATTTTAGCCTTTGTGGTCAGCGGCTACTGTTGTGGTATCAGGGCAGAACAGGTAGCACCTTTACAGCCAGCTGGCTCGTGTTCTCGGTCAGGATCGGTAACTTGTTCTATCAACACACCACGGATCTAAGTACAGACATGAAATTTCGGACAGAGGCTTAACCTCTTTAGACCAATCTCTTCGATTGCAACCACCCTTCAATACACCGCTCCCTCTCTTTCTTACCAGTCTTGCCAACTCTCCTTGCTCCCAGGACCACGATCTTCACGTTTCGGTTGTGCAAGTAGTCGAGCATCGAGACCTCCGGTATGGGGAGCAGTAAGAAGTTACTTGAATTGGTTGACATGGTATTCTGGAGGAGACGCGTTTATAAAACTGCACATTAAGACAGGCAAGAAGAAGATAGGGAAAAAAAATCTGGCAAAACATACGCTTTGCGAGCTGCTCTGACCACTCTTGCTTTACTCTTGAAGACCCCTCGGCTAGTATCCAGACTCAGATCATTCCTGCTTAGCCTAAGGGGCTCTGAGGCACCGCCGAACTGATACTGTACTTTACCAAAGTCAATCAAAAAAGAAACTTTTCTACCGTCCTTCCCTCCCAAACTTACAACAAATATTCTGGCTGCAGCGACCAATGGAAATTTGGAACAAAATAAACTGCTGCCAATCGTATTCCCAAGCTGGACTCTCCCGAGACATTGGAATGCACTGCGGAAGAGGCGGTGGAAGCAAATTGCACAATAACTTTGAAAAGATAATTGGATAAATGCTTCGAGGAAGCGTGCAGGGCTCTGGGAAAAGGACAAGAGAGCGAGACTAATTGGATACCTTTCAAATAACTGACAAATACATTGAACCAAATGGCTTCATGCGTGGGCGATATGATCCCAGAGATATTCAACAAATCGGTCTTTTTTTTGAAAAGTCGACAAATGCAATTCCAAGTTGTGCCCATTTTGTGGTTTACCTGTGCGAAAGGAGTTACAGTGAAGGGTGGAGGGAGATGTGAACCTAATTGTGCTCTGTAGGCAATAGTCAATGAGGTAAAATTCAGTCCGGAAATGCAAAGCAGGTCTACCAACAGCTGGAAAGGCAAAAAAAAGGGTTAAAATTTGGGGAAGAAATCGTTCCTTACAAATGGACAATGACCATAACTTCCTGTCCGAAAGGCAGTACACAACCCATCAATAAACATCATGGCTACTCAAGTAATAATAATGGGATCTGGATTGTTCATTGACTATTCATCAGTATTTTCAGTTAAGCTGATATTCTTCCTAAAGGGGATATTTTACAAAAGCGGATTTTCATTCTATTCTTTTTAATTTTCTTCAATTACCTAACAGGAGGTAATTGAAAACTGTGGACAATTACAAATCCTGACTGAAGTGTTTTGATAGAGCAAGTAGTGAAAAAGTGTTTCTGCTGATGGGAGGGATCTTTTTTTAAAGGGAGACTGAGTTGAACTAAACTACTTGAGTGGGTGGTGGAAGCAGATTCAATAGTAGCTTTGTCTACATATTTATATGTTCCTTATCTACACTCGGAATTGACAAGTTGTTTTGTTGTGACATGGGAAAAGAGTAAGAGAGGGGATTTATTTGGACAGCTTTTCAAAGCACCAATGCATCTACAATGGGCGAAATAGCATCCTTCTGTACTGTGTGATTCTGTCGTTCCAGAAAAACAATAATGAACAGCATTCTACCCATCAATTGCCCCAGTCATTCAAGAATTGAACTAAATATTTTGAATTCTTTTCATATCTAGATCCTCCAATTTCCTATTGATTCAAGTATTTGATCAATTCCCTTTGAATGTATGGGCTGAATCACAGCATTCCAGTCTGTTCTACAAGATAACGGTAACTGTCAGATAAAGAGCTTATAAGAAAAATGAGTTCTGGTTATCCATTATTTTAAAAGAAAATTTGTAAATGTTACTTTTAACAAGAAAATCAAGTAGCAACATATACCCAACATCACTTCTGTCTAGCACTTCAGGTTGTCACTCGTGGCTCAGGTGGCTACATTCTCCATTCATTTGAGTCATATACACTATCTTCAATGGAGATTAAGTCCAGGGTCTTTACTGTGTGTAAATGAAGAGATGCTGGTCTTTTTTGCTGTATGCATTTCAAGGCTCCATCATCTGGGTAACTGACTGATACCAATTGCTTGAATACTAGCTGTTTCCCAGAAATACTGAAGTAATTTTATACAGTCTCATGGTGGGTTTTTCAAATCGTTGTGAATGGCAAAGTGGAAGTTGTGCAGTGCAGCATTCCAGAGAGTGGCAGACAAGCAATTGGACAGCATTGGGAGTCACTCAATTTGTGTGGTCTTCAGCATTCCTGACAGCATCCCAATGGCAGCATTTAGATACACATCCATAACCTTTGCATGATAACTGCCATGAGACAGTTGTGTCCTGCTGCTGATAAGAATGGGGCCAATGTTGCACAAAAAGGATTCTGGTTGCATTCTAGTAAGTTTTTAAACTAAATTCACTTTTTTTTTACTTTTTGACTGTCCTTGATAAGATGAGATAAGGTGAAAATTTTGTCTGGGTTGATGCAAAATTATTTAGGCTGTTACGGTTAATAAACCTTCTGCCAAAGAAAACAATGAGTTCACTCCTGGAGTCACGGTTGCTCTGAATGAGATTTTTATGTCTGAATTGGGAGAGAGTCAGCAAGTCCAGAAGTAGCATTCCCTTAGGTCTAATTCATGGATGAGTGTACTACTCCAGTATGAAAGTTATCTGCATATGCTAAATTTTGTGATTTGATGCAGGATATCTTTTTTTAAAATTCATTCATGGGATGTGCCCAACCCAGAGGGCAGTTAAGAGTCAACTACATTGCTGTGGGTCTGGAGTCACATGTAGGCTAGACCAGGTAAGGATGGCAGTTTCCTTTCCTAAAGGTCATTAATGAACCAGATGGGTTTTTCCCCAACAATCAACAATAGATTCAAGGTCGTCATTAGACTGTCAGGTCCAGATATTTATTGAATTCAAATTCTACCATCTGCCGTGGCGGGATACAAACCTGGGTCTCTGGATTAACAGTCCAGTGATAATACCACCAGGCCATCACCTCCCCACCTAATTATGTCATATAGATGTTGAACACTAATGGCACGTGGCAATCCATTGTTTAGCATCTGTGATTGACAGGTCTTGCAATTGAGCTAGAAATAAAACTTATACCAAAACATGCACTGTATAACCATGAAGTGGGATGGGGGCATTCTATGTGAAGCTTGTTGTAGGGAATTAAAATTTTTAACAAAGGAAAGTTTTCAGGTTAAAGCTCGAGATCTACAAAGCATCATCCTCCCTTTGCAGCATTGATGACAAACTGTGAAGCAATTCTATACTTTAGAAGTGAACACCATTGTTCATGGAAAATATACTTCAGACAGCCACCTATAGCAATAGTTCCTACATTCTAGTATGGTTGACTTCTTTTAATTTGCTGATTTCCTCAAGCCCTTATGCTTCTTTTCACACCCATTGGCAATATCTGTAGTAGTTTAGTTGACACTGACTGTCCTGACCATTTCTAGGCACTGAACTTCAACCATGCTTTTTGCAGTTTTCTAATCTGTAAAAATGTGGGTTTCCTGCCACTGGCTTCCTCAATAAGCAATTAAGTAATTTATTTTGTGACCAAAATAAAGTTGTAACTGTGACTTCTGTAAACTGCCACAGGCCCATGCAACTTTAACACAATGTTCACACCCCAAATAGATAAGATGTATATAAAAGATTTTTAAAGTCTGAAAGATAAAAGTGACACTGGTGCAATAAACTATAGTAGACAAACAGGAAGCTGAAAAACACAGCAGGCCAGGCAGCATCTGGAGGAATGGAGCAGTCAACGTTTCAAGTATTACCCTTCATCAGGAGTTGGTGTGAGGGTAGGGGGTGCTGCAGATAAAGGGGGGGGGGAGGGGTGGAGGTGATGACAGATGGACACTGGTGGTAGGTACAACCTGGTTAGTTAATGGGAGGGATGAATCTGGTTGGTGAGGATCTGGGAGGGAGGGTCAGAATGTAGAATGGAAGGGGGGAGGTGGGGCTGGAAGGGGAGGCGGGGGATGGGTGGGAAGGTTATTTCAAATTGGAGAACTTTGAGTCCTTTGGGCTGTAGGGTGCCCAGGCAGAAGATAAGGTGTTGTTCTTCATATTTGCGTTCCGAGTCACTGCAATACTGGACGAGGCAGAAGAAGGACATGTTGGAGGGGGAGTGGGGCAGGGAGTTGAAATGGGCGGTGACTGGCAGGTTAGGTTGGCTGTTATGAGCCAGGGGGAGATGCTTGGTGAAACAGTCACCTAGTCTATGTTTGGTCTCACCGACGTAGAGAAGACCACATCGGGAGCACCAGATGCAACAGACTAGGTTGGAGGAGATGTAGGTGAAGCTCTGTCTCTCTTGGAAGGACTATTTAGGGCCCTGAATGGAGGTCAGAGAGGTTGTGTGTGGGCAGGTGTTGCATCATTTACAATTACAGGGGACGGTAGTCGGTGATTTAGAGTAATTGGTGGGGAGTGTGGCGCGAACTAAGGAATGGCAAAGGGAATAGTCCTTGCGGAAGGCAGAGAGGGGTGGGGAGTGGTAGATGTTCTGGGTAGTGCGGTCTAATTGCAGTTGGCAAATGTTTGAGGTTGATACGTTGGATGCGGAGGCTGGTGGGGTGGAAAATGAGGACAAGGGGGACCCTATCTTTTGGAACCCTATGTTCTGAGGAAGGGTCACCGGACCCCAAACATTAACTCTGTTTTCTCCTCCACAGATGCTGCCAGACCTGCTGAGCTTTTCCAGCAACTTTGTTTTTGTTCCTAACTTTATTATGTTTGGAGGCGAGGGGGTGGGGGGCTGGTGCTTAACAGCCTGTGGAACTGTGAATCCCCTCTTGTGAAACCCTAGTCCTAAAGCTGCTGAGTGTTTCAGCAATCGAAAGAGAGCCAATGCTAATGCTGCAGTAAATGCATTGATGCATCGAAACAGACATATTGATGGTGGTTAGGGGAATATTATGGAACATTGATCGCATGCAGTTTAGTTCTATGCAATTCATGACACAACTACTTATTTCTACGTTTACAAAATGAGATGAAATAGAGTTTTGAGTCCGGTATGATTCAGAACTGAGTTAAGAGTCAGACAGGATTCCGTTTCTCTGCCTGCACATGCTGACAGAGTTCTATTTTTGTTTCAGATTCCAATCGTTTGCAGTATTTTGCTTTTAATTAAAATGATTAAATGGATTCCCCTCTTATTGAAGAATTCCCCTCATTATTAAAAATATTACTACTGAAATATTCAAGAAAAGAGCAATGTAAATGTATGCATTTAACGGTGGTTTAGATGAGAGACTCACACAAACTTGTCAAATCTCAGTTTATGGACTGATATAATTTTATTTTGAAACATGATCAATTTTGATGAAATCGTCATAAAGTTTTCTTTTTATTTGCGATGAATGGTAAATCAGTTCGTAATTTAAACGAGGCAGGGAGGGGAAGAAAAGACGTGTTTCTGATCCAGTGGGGATTGGGATGGGCAATGATGTTCACATCCCAGGACGGATTTTCTTTGCACATAAAAAGGAAATGCTCGATGTGAAGAGGGCCCTGACCGTGTCAGTCAGGTACAATCGGAATGATC